ACACATCACCTCATCCCATGTCTGCTCCCTGCAAAGGAACATTGTAACTAAGACTTCTTTGCTGTGACCATTTTTCACCATCATCTGATATATACAGCGGCCACAAATTCTGGGGTATTTCAAAAAGGTCTTTTTACTTTGGTTCTGATACCTAGGAGTTTTAATGGTTTTGATTTTTTTAATTTTTGTAGATCTTAGAAGTAATTACGTAGTAAATGTAGATTTTAGAGTAGCAGCATGTTATCCTTTACCCTTAACACACCAGCTCAAACCCCTGTTACCCATTCCCATATCAATTCCCTAAATTCCATAGCCTGTTTAGTCTCTTTTTCAAGGTAGTACTGTAGAAGAACACCCTAATCCTACAGAACAAGATACAGCTGTAGACCCAACAACCTTCAGGCCTAGAATTCTGGAAGGCCTCCAAGGACATTACGTGCTCTGAGAAAGATGAAGATGAAGAAGAGGGGGTCCCAAAACGCCCCCAGACCCAATTCCCAAGAGGTGTGGCGGGGGCAGAACCTGGGTGGTAGTTGGACGGGATTGGGTGAAAATCATTATAAAAACTGTGGACATCTTGATTTTGGGAGCGCGCACTGGTGGTATTCCAGAAAGCCTAGGGGCTCATTAAAACCTTTGTATCCTTATCTTATCTCCTACCTAATTTGGCTTGGAGTCTTTTTTTCCTCACAGCCATTTAAGCAACAGTTTTGGTGACTCTGTACAGGGAATCGAGACCTGTGACTCCTCTGGATCGGTATTCCGTTTTGCAGGGATTTCTTTCCGGCCAGCATATCTTGAAGAATTCCTGCTCTGATCTTGGGGGGCCCAGCTTCTCGGAACCGCACGTGGAGGAGGTAAGATAAAGAACAAAACTCCTAGAGAATTTTAATTAGCAGTTGTGGGAAGGAGTTTCCCCTGGGCTAGGGAATACAGTGAGGCTGGAAAGGGAAACTTGGACTTGGGCCCAAAAAGTGTTTTCCCAGTCTGTTGGCAAAGGGATTTTTGCCGGAGTGGGCAGTGGAACTGCCTGGAAAGTTTAAGTTAAGACAGGCAGGAGGATTTCGGGTTTCTTGTTGGTCAGGTGTGGCTGGAGCGGAAGGGGGACGCCCCCCCGTTTGAAACTCTGTGTTTCTGCCTGAACCTGGTAGAGTCTGGATTGGATACAAAGTCTGCAGTGTGTGTGTGAGTGGTTGTGAGTTCTTAGACCTGTCATTTTCCTTGTGTGTTGTTTGTTAACATGGGATGTACACAAGCTAAAGAGGAGATTCCAGAGGGAACCCCTCTCACTTTGGATTTACAGTATTGGGATGATTTAACTGGCCCCGAGACACCTTTAAAAAGACGGGAAGTAGTTAGACTTTCTATGGATGTCTGGCCCTATACTGGAAAATTAGAGGAATAGCCTGGCCAAAATTTGACTTTTTTGAGGCAAATAGAGTGTTTCATCTAATGACTATCCTTCATAAGGAAGAAATATGGTTGGAGTGTCATTATGCAGAGTTATTCTACCTTTTCTTAACCCGTCCGAAATTGAGAAAGGCATATAAAAAGGACAAAGTTAAAATAGAAGCAGAACTCACAGAAATGGCATTAGAGGAGAAAAAGAAAAATCATGCTAGGCATGATCCTGAGGAGGAAACTAATCTTGAAAGCCCTGGAGATGAAGATCTGGACCTTTTAATTCCCCCAAATATGAGAATAGGGAGCCCACCCCCTCCTTTGGCTCAGGCTGCTGGCGCGGTGGGTGTAGGTCCATCAGGAGCGGGGGTAGTCCCTGGGGTGGGTCCTGCTGGCTTGGCGGGGCCAGCTGGACCTGCGTTGCCGGGTCCTATTGCTTCAGGAGTCTCAAGTAGTGTAGACGGACAGGCTGGAACCGCTCCAGGAGGAGCGGGGTCCAGGGAACTGCTGTTAGTGCTCCGGGACCCGCCCCGGCTGTTCCGGCCGGCGCGGGAGCGGCAGGGGCGGGGGTGGCCCCTGCCCCGGCTGCAACAGGGGCTCTGGCACCGGCCGGACCGGCAGTGCCGTTCCTGGCTGGAGCCGAGGGCTTTGCCGATAGTGGCGGGGGGGCTGCACTGGCTCCCTCCTGGGCCATTCTGGGAATGCCAGGTGCAGCTGCGGTTACCGTGGCAACGGGAGTGGGAGGTTCGAATCTCAGCACGGCGGGAGGAGGAGTGGGGGCGGTGTCTACAGCCAGAGTCCCTGCCCCGGCTGACACAGGACCCTCCAGCTCTGCCATGAGGGGCGGGAACCAACCTGCCCCCATCCCTTCGGCACCGCCCTATCCTACGGAGGAAAGGGGGAACCAGGGTTTAGAATTACAGCAACGGGGGAGGAGCAGATTGAGGAGAAGCAGTTCAGTTCCTCCTATCGACAGGAGACAAAGATGGGTCTTCCCCCTTTTGACCCCTCGAGCACAAACGTTAAGACTCAGGATAGTGATTTTTCTGATTCAGGCACAGAAGCATCTGAGGATGAATCAAACGATAGATTGGGGAGGGGGGAAGATAAACCACTTATAGTAAGACCAAAGACAGGGAGAAGAAGAGTACAAGAAGCTCTGTCGGACCCCAGTCCTGTGGCTAGTAGGACAAGATCACAAAAGGAAAAACCTACAGTAGAAGCCCCCTTAAGGCAAGCCCTGAGCAACCAGGGTCCAGTTTTGATAAAAACTCCTTTTTCTCTAGGTGAGTTACAGCAGTGGAAAGGTTCAGTTGGAACATATAGG